AATTGAGGCAGTGACTGGCAGTTACCTAAACTCAGTAAAAGCATAAACAACACAACACTCATTGTAGTACTGATGGAGAGACGACAATGGTGAATTTGGTATACTTTCTCTCGAGCTATATACTACGTAATCTTAAATTGTACATAAGTGCTCGGCATCCACTGACATACGTGATGTTTTATGCAACTTGAGTTTATTTATGTGCAACAATGCACACTGTGATGTATGCTACATTCCAATTTAGTTGGAAACTCTGTCGTAGATTTGTCATGTAAAATTTTGTGCACTACAGAGCAATTTGCAATGAGTATTGTTATAAATTGATGAGAATTGGCTACTGTTTCACTGCATATTGCATTCTAGTCCAAAGGCAATCATCCCAGTATCAATGAATAATTTATCAATACAGATATGCTGCTACACTTAAATATAAAGTTTTGCACATGACATTGACATAATTATCTACCAAATATAAATTCATGTCAGTATGTTCATTAGCTACATAAGAGTCTTGAAGTTGTGGTATGCTTCCATCCTCTCCACAAAGTCAGCCAGTACTTCATAACAGAAGACATAGTGATCCTTCATGTGAAAAGAAGAGAAATAGTCACACTGAAACCAGAGCAGAGACCTACAGTGTTGGGTATGACTCCAGGTCTGTGTATGCGAGCAGACTTGATGGCCTGGAAGACATCCACCACACCTTCTGTCTTCAGACGTTCCAACTGAGAGTGGATGACCAGGAATGTCCCACTCCGAACTACCCCATCACTGAGTGGGAGGGAGGACACAATCTTTATGCACACATAAAGTCTAACTGTTCACAAGCATACCTGCACATGACCACAGTCTGTTTGGAGGAGGTGGACATCAGAACATGTTTGAGCTTATCAATGAGTGAGATAATGGCAGTAGGGTGGGGGAGCCCCTCTAATGGCCAGCTCGTTAGCTGTATCATCTTGACAACGAGTATGTCAGGATGAAACTGACTTATGTCTCCTTGACTTCCATCCTCCTCTCCACGATGTCACCGTGACCTCTGACCTTGACTAGTCTGACAGAGAGTCTCCCACACACCATCTCCTCTCCCTCCTCACCTGGCCAGTAGGGGTAGCTGCTCTCCTGCAGTCCATGACACACACACCAGTACACACCCTCTGTATGTCTGGTCTACAGACCTGGCCATCTTCCTCCAGCTGACACAGCATCACGATACAGCCACACTGGTACTCCCACATCATCCTCCAGAAGTCCTCCACTGTTCCCTTCAGTGGACCCTGAGTTGCTATGTAGGCATCTCTCTGCTTATAGCCCTGAACAGTGTGAAGTATGTTAGCTACCTACCCGCATAAAACCCTATGACACTACCTACATTGATGAAAGGATGCATTGATGTACTCAGAGCCAGAGCTACTCATCAGTGGCACACGATAAACTATCATCTGTTGAGAGAAGGAAAAACTGCTTTACATAAAGCAGTGGCCCATTGTGCCCCTTTGTTCGGAAATACTGTATCATACATGGCTATGAACTAAGCAATTGGGCAGTATTTTGTTATGTAACCACCCTAAGATGTCGATGTTCACTATGACACGTGTCATACTTGGCAGTTTATCTGGGAATCTGTTTTTGCTGATGTTTTGCCTCAGCCTTGGCTCCCGTGAAGTCACACCTTTGCTGGTGACTCAGATCATCCAGAACCTAGTCACAGAGTAAAATAAACCTATGATGGAATACATGGGTTGCAGGATATAAACCTTCAGGTGTTGTAGTGAGAGAGTGGGTCCAGAGTCAGTGACTGGGTCCCTGAGAGACTCAGTGAAGGACCTGAGACTGGAGGCAGTCACCTCTGTCTCTCCACACACCACCAGCTCACTCAGAGCTTGGTGAATGAACTCATACTGAATCTTGAAAGGGAGTTAGACACAATCACACGATAAACAAGTATCATTAAAAGTCGTTACCGGAGTCTGCACCATCTTCATACGTTGTGTTCTCAGATTTCTGACACACTGGCAGACACTGAGGGTGGCCTCAGCCTTCATCTGCTGCATCATCATATCCAGAGTGATGAAAGTCCCGGTGCGGCCCACACCTGCACTGCAGTGTACCAGCAGTGGCTGGTCTTGGGAGGCAGCAGGGAACAGTTTACGGACATGACGAATGAACCGTATGACAGACATGACATTGTCTGGAACTCCGTGATCTGGCCAGGCTGTGTAGTGGAACTGAGTCACTGTCACTGACTTGTCGGACTCCGTCAGCTGTAGGGAGTTTGCAAATTTTACGTGAATTACTGAGGAATTAAGGCAGCACAACTGCTTATCAGTGAGGCTATAACCATGGTAGGTCTCTCTCTTCCCACCTATTTTAGTTAATTACTAGATCTTTCAGTACACAGGCCTGCAATACAACACTTAGAAAAGGCAAACCCTCAAGTGTATACCATGCATGATGGCCCACAGCTTAGTATTTTATCTGCCCAATACGAAATAAGTAGAAGCATGAATAGCATGGTATCAAGGAAATGCAAATGCAAAGAAAATGCAACAGGCGCAGAAACCATCCCATACATGTTTGACTAGAAGTTTGCGGACGTGGTACTCGGCATAAGGTGTGGATGAAGAGAGAGTGACACTGAGTCTGTCTCCAGGAGTGATGGTCTCACTCAGTGACTCAGGCCAGTACTGGGCACTCTTCTCCTGTGGAAACAGCTATGACTATTGACACAGACACCAGGTAAGACTGATGACTCACTCTTGTCATCTCCACACATTTGGTCAACATGACAATGGCTTCAATCTCATACTCCCACACCATCCTCCAGAAATGATCAATTGTCTCATTCAGTGGAGCTGTGAATGGTTGCAGCTATATAGTAGGTGTCCTAACTTCACAAATCATACCTTGTGCTGCTATGTATCTATTTCCACAATAACCCTGCAGAAAGTATAACACTTAACATACTCTACATTGCGTTCAACTCTTGAACTCACTGAAACAAAAGAGGCATTGATGTAATCGGATCCCAGTTCTCCAGGTATCTCCTTCAGAGGCACTCTCGAATCATCATCTGATATTGTGGAGGTAAATTTGTGGGAAATGTGGTAATGTGTTGGTTCTCACATGGGTAAATGTTCCTGAATCTATTGAGGTTTGTGTTCTGGGGAAGACAGGCCACTTCGTAGGACAATGTAGGAACACTACTGAGTTGCTGCAGAATTTGAACTCATTAAACGACCGTTTTACACCACGATCCCTTGTGTATATACTACCAACCTGATATTCAATAGCTAACTTGGAGGTGTCGTGCTGGTTTTCCACTGTCATATCAATGACATAGTCTGGAAACTCACTGACTGGAATATCACTCCTCACTGGAACTGTATTATTAACATTATCACAACCTATTCGGTTGCTCACGTATTCAAGCCAAACTCACTCTCAGCAGTAAACAAAGGCCACATATAATCACTGCCATCATCGTCTCTCCAGCCCCTTTCCCTCAGTTCATGTCTCTCTAACCGCTCCAATCTCTTGGAGGATGACTTCTGGTACTTACTCTGTGACTTCCTCTTTGTCTTGTCCTTCCTATATAACGTGGCAACATGAAACATCAACCAGACTCAAGGAAACTTGTTACAAAACCTTTTATACAGAATGATGCTGCAGATGAAGACAAAAGTCACGAGCACAAGCACAGCAGTACCAGTTGAAATCAGAATTTGTTTCATACCTCCACCTCCTTCCAAATCTATGGGTAGTGCTTTTGAACTACATTATTAGACATTGGAGCAGGTATACCTGGATCTATTGGTGAAGGTACAGGCACACCGTAAGTTGCAGTAGTGTCGGTGCCAGTAGGTTTCACTGTTGGTGCCATTGTGGTCTCACTGGGTGCCATTATGGTCTCGCTTGGTGTTATTGTGGGTTCCATTGTGGTCTCACTGGGTACCATTGTGGTCTCACTGGGTACCATTGTGGTCCTGCTAGTACCACTGGTGGTAGTTGACACTATAGCTGTGGCTGTTGTCGTAGGTGCGTTTGCTCTTTTTGTCATGATAGTGGGTGTCATAGTGGCTGCTGTGCTTGTGGTGAGTTCCATGTTAGTGCTGGTTCTCTTAGTAATTTTCAAAGTGTTGGCTCTTGTGGACATTACGATACAATAACTCTTTATCATGGCAGATGAGGCAGCAGTCAATGTCGTTAAAGTTATAGAGTAGACGTTAGTTGTTGCGATGCTAGCATTTACTGTTTGATTTGTTGCAACAGTGGTAGCAGTCGATGTCGTGGTAATGCCAGAAGCCTGTTTAGTAGTAGATTGAGCTTGGCTTTCTGTTGACATTGTCATCATGACGTAACTATTAGTCAGACTTTCTGTTGAAATAATATCAGTCCCTGGTATGAACACAGTAGTATTAGGACTAATCGTTTTTTGGGTGGGGGGAGTAATACTTGGGTTGGTAATGAAAGTGCTGCTGATAGTCTGGATATTGGTTGCAACTGTAATAATACAGACGAAGTGCAAGGGAAAAAGTCGTATGAACAAATGGTATTTTTAAACACATTCTAATAAGGCGCAAAACAATGTCACTCGTATCTATATATTTTAACACATCTTAATGATAAGGTATTTTAATTGTGTGACTAAGTTATTAATAGTCTTACCGCTGGTACTTGTGGTGACAAAACCACCCTGACTGCTAAAAACTGCTGCACATAAAGTAAGCATATGTACCATGCGAGCTACCTGGCAGTTTCTGTACCTTCGACAAGTATGGTGGTGTCACTGAAGCTGTAGTAACCCAATGTTGTAGCAGTGCAACGATAGATGATAGTGTTGTTCAATGTGTCATTCTCAGAGGTGGTTAAAACACTCTGATAGCCTCTCTCTGGAGATCCAGTTGT